CTCATCATTGACTCAAACTGTATCTACATTGATATGAATAAAAAAAGTCATAGAATCATTTCAGGACATACCAGAGACTATGATGGGTATGGGTAGTGTGTGATAGATCTCCTAGTATTTGGAGTCTCTAAACTCTAAACTTCGAGCAAAATCTATCTTCTTATACACCATTCGATACGCCGCGAGCTGCTCCACAAAAATGGATGTTCAATGTTCTGATTGGTCATGGTTCATAAAATCCGGCGAGAACCTTTTTAGATTTGGTTCATTTTATTACCATTTGATAGGTTGGTCTGAAAGGATTATGGCAAAAATATGAGACCTTTCCCTTGAGTGTCTCAACAACTACAAGGAAAACACTGATCATGACTGTAGAAGTATACTGATTTTTTCGCAAAAAACTTGGTGTTATCAGTATTTTCAAGTTTTTTTTGTGATATTACATTCTTTTGAGACACGGTTAGTATCTAGAGTCTAGCGCTTCCAGAAAAAATGGAATCGACATCCGAATCGTAACCGTGAAATGAAAAAGATAGGAGTGGAGTAGGACCTGTGTGGAAACTAAATTTTTCCTGATGGAATTTAGACTCATCTACATCGTGCCCCTTTACATTAGATCTACGAAACATCGTTTTTTTCCACAGCCAGATAGAAACAACGATGAAATTTGCCTCTTCAATAAGAAAATGAGCACCAAAAGTCTCGAACAGTGAGATCTAGAAAGATGTACAATAAAATTGGTATGAACTGATGAGTAGACCATTTCTGCTATTAATTTAACGGTTCCAATGATAATTCCCAGAACCGAAACCGGAACCATTTTTTTCTGATTTTAAAGATTCGGAGCCGCTGCGCTCTTTTGATGTCAAACGATAAAAAACTTAATTGCCTACAAAACTCTATATAAAATATTCCCCTACGATCGAATTCTGGTCGTCGAAAAAACTTCAGACAAGGAATGCGATCTGTCCAGCAGTTAGTTTTTCCGAGTATTTCAAGAAAATTTGTGCCAAAATTGCTCGATCCTCTGAAATTTACTCTTATTCCTGGTGGTCCATGAAAAACTGCATCGATTCATTAAAATATTGGTAAAAAGTTTGAGGAAGAAAAGGAGGCGATCGAAAATCGTCCAAATTTTTCCGCTGTAGAAATTCTATAAAAGTACCCTAAGAGTGTATAATTACTTTGATATCCCATTGATGAGATATCGTCCCTTTTGTGGATAAAAAATGTAGACAATGTTCAGTGTGCACCTGTACCTAAATCAAAGGTCACTGAACAGAGTTTATTATGATTAAGAGATTTCGATAGGCTTCGAAAGCGCTGTGAAATCTTCCATAGCGCTGAGCTAGTCTCTAAAACTTTCCGGAACGCCTGGAAGCTTATAGAAATCTCTTAAGCATGATAAATTCTGTTCGGTAACCTTTGACCTAGGCACAGACGCATACTAAACATTGTCTAAACTTTTTATCCATTAAAGGAGCGAAATCTCATTAATCGGATATCAAGGTAATTATGAACTCTTAGAGTACTTTCATTTTATAGCATTTCTGTAATGAAGAATTTCTGAAGGTTTTCGATCACCTCTCTTTTTTCCTCAAACTTTTTACCGATATTTTAATGAATCGATGCAGTTTTTCATGGACCCCCAGAAATAAGAGTAAATTTCTGAGGGCCGAGCAATTTTGGCACAAATTTTCTTGAAATACTCGGAGAAAATCAACTGCTAGGCAAGTCGCATTCCTTGTCCCAAGATTTTTCGAAGGCCAGAGCTCGATAGAAGAAGAATGTCTTATATATAGTTTTGTAGGGAATTCAGTTCTCTATCGTTTGACACTAACCGTGCCTTAAAAGGACATAGTATCACAAAGAAAACTTAAAAATACTGAGAACACCTAATTTTCGCGCAAAAATCCGGTATACTGCTACAGTCATGGTCAGTGTTTACCTCGTAGTTTTTGAGAGATTCGGCGGAAAGGTCTCATAATTTCGCCATACACTTTTCAGACCACCACCTATCGAATGGCAATAAAATGAATGAAATCTAAAAGTTTTCGTATGAGTCGAACGATCGTGGTCTCGCGGACGCTCCCTTAAGAACTTAGATTCATTATGATTAATCTAATTATGACATTTTGATTAATTTAACAGAAAATTATTTTGCAATTCTTAGCCTTCGAGCATGAAATACTGGATCTGTTATTCTTAACACCATATGAAAATTGCGGCAATTTCAAAAGTGCTTAATCTCTTTCAATTTTGGGGTAGCCTCTTCGCATTGTGTGGAACAACAGCTCGATTTGGGTTTTTGCAAACGCAAAACGGAGATGCATGTCTATTGACTCGAAAATTGTACGTTTCTCTGATACAATAATGTGTTCCGCCTAACGGCACCTACATTCTATTGTCAAAGAATCTTCATGTATCGAACTCGTACAAAAATGAAAGCCTAACCATCTTCTATTAGTTGTCTTCTACAAAATATTATTCTTGAAAAGTAGTCCTAGAAGTCGATGGAATTCCGCTATTCTATATAAGAGAAGGAAAGTTGAACACTTTATACCTCTTACCATTTAGTATGAATGTTCAATACGGACCATAGATGATCTGTGACACAGCCTGCAACGAATATTTTACGATCGAAAACGGCCGTATTTACTCGTCTGAATTGACGCCATATCGCAATATCGCATACAAGATCGTATTTTCGCCGCAAGAGATAAAAATACTCACTGTATTTATTCTTATGAATATGCGTATGGCTGCGTTTGTAATCTAAAAGCAATGGTAAACGATCGTATGCGGACTTTATCATTCGAACTTCGATAATTTTCATCGATTAGCCTTTGCTATGAAGTTTGATTCGTTACCTATTGTATTTCCTAATTTCAGACGAAAGTTTTGGCGAATTCATTCTTTCTATGCAGTTAATAGGTTTTAAACATATTCGATGATGATTTTTTTGCAAGACGCGAAACGTGTCTTATGAATACTTTGATTCTTTTATTTTGAAACTAACATTTTCGCTCTCGGACGGTTGCTTAACAACAAGTTGAAGAACAGAAAGAAAAAGAGTATTCGAATGGTAATGGTTGCGTTTGTCGACGAGAGAGAATAAATAGAAAAAGAGTATTCGAACGGTAATGGTTACGTTTGTCGACGAGAGAGAATAAATATAAGATGCTGCTAATTCAAAATTTTAGTAGAGAAAAACTTTTAGTCTTTTCATACATATTTTTGATTCATCATGTGACGCTGATCACGAATATCAGATTCTTCTTCTCGTTTGGTTAAGGTTCGATGGAGAAAAATGCGTAATACTGAGATAGTTGTAACCCTCATACGCCCACCTGTATTGATGCCGAAATTCTACCAATCTGATCTGATTGCTACCTGAATATAAATGGTGAATTTTAGCGTTTCATTTTATACTACACTGAAGGACAGTATTATGTACTATGAATATTAATTGA